ATATTTTTTTTTTTTTTTTTTTTTTTTTGCCATATACAGTAATTATCAGCCAGTGCACCAAATGGCATATTTTGCTCAGTTTGGGCCTCTTAATAAAATTAAAAAGTGTTTTTCCTCCTCGAGTACAAGCTCCATATGATCCAGTATTATAATATACATATCATAATATGAGCAATAAAAGCTTGACATATCAAATATGTCAGACTCAACAAAAAACACACATGCAAACTTAACTAAAACTTAATTTTACAAGTGTAAGAGAACTACGTTATGATGCAGACAAATCTGATGCATTAAAATCTGAAGCTTCTGCGCCATCTAGTGGTGATTAAATGAACCAAAACTGCCCAGCTGCTAATGCAGGGAGACTTTTCTCCAGCTTGAACTTCGTGACACTGAATTGAAATAATATACAAGATCATAAGGTAGTGGGACACACAGAAATTAGACCCACCTATGTTGACAATAGCTCCTCCGTGACTGAGCATGCTCCGTAGAGCGCCTCTGCAGATCAGCATTGAGCCCAGCAGGTTGGTGTGAAGAACAGAGAGCATGTCTTCAGATTTACTCCTCAATAACAATGCATCTCTTTAAGATAAACACACATTCAATATATATTAGAATGCAGCAGGTTTTTTTTATTTATAATATCAAAATCTGCTGTTTTTATTATCCTCTTTTTTGGCCATGGTATCTGATATATTTATTCAATATCACATTTTCTGCATCACTGTCTGACCTGTTGATGCCAGCTGCGTTAACCAGGTATCCCACAGTGCCACAGGTCTTACTGATGGTCTCAAATGCTCTCTGAACGTCTTCTTCTTTAGAGACATCACAGCTTAGACCCAAATGTTTTTCTGAAATTAAATATATACTCCAGAATTATAACATCTCTTTTAACACAATTTAAGATTAAGACTTTTTAATTGCATTCATTACCCAACCTGGTAACAAAATGTTTTTCTTTGTGCTTTTGGATAGATAAATACTATATACAAAACTCCAATTTAGGTAAAAAATGTGTTTAGGTAAAAAAAAAAAGTGTTAAGACTTTTCATCAGCGAACCAATGCAAAGTAATTCCGACTGATTCATGGTTATTCACTGATTCACCTCCAGGGAGAGATTCAGCCGTAACCTGTGCAGCCTCCTTATTCCTAGTCAATAGCACAACCTTATGACCCCTCTGTGCTAACAGCTGAGAAACTGCTCGCCCAATGCCACGCGAACCCCCGAACACTACAGCCAGTCTGGACATCACGACCCTAAAAGAGAAAAAAAACAGCACAGAATGAACACTGCAGGCCAGTAATCAGATATTGAATGAGTAAAGGTGAAAGTACAACTGAAAATAGTACCTGTATCTTTAGAAAAAAAGTAGTGCTGCTTATAAAGAAACAATGCATTTTTGATTGACATTTGATTATTGCTGTGCCAAGAAATGTTATAATGTATAGTACCTTGGAGTGCCATGTAAATATGTGTAAATATGTGTATTAATATGATAACCATTGTGCACTATACTACTGTATTATTATCTAGAACTATCACTTATAAAAGGTCATAATGTAATAGTTTTTGGACATGTAGTTTGTAACTACCGAGGTATTCTGAAAGGTAATTCTTAGATGTGCCACATTACTGTTGGTAATATCTGACATTAAAGTTATTAATACAGCAAACTGTGGAGCAGAAATGTGGAGCAGAAATTATGTAATGTTCACTCAAAAGTTACAGTTGCCACTTACAATGAGCAACATCCCTTAGAGATCCTTTGACACTGCACAATTATAGTTGGTCTAACTGCACAGGATTTAGGGTTTTAGACGACAAGATATCGAACTCACGGTAAATATCGGTAATATCATCTACCGTTCGTTGTTGTCGCTAAATGTGAACTTGTGGTATAGATGGACCGGGTGCCGCCATGTTGAGTGAACTGCGCGTGGTGCCCGATAGGTGGAGCCAAACGCATCGGTAAATTAATATGGACTCAAAGACATATTGGAGAGAAATAATAGCAATATATCTCGAAAAGGAAAATCGAGGCAGCGGACTAACGCATTTTAATGTATTTATTTACTAAATGTATTGTCCAAGACTGGGTCATTCTATGGAAACGTCCATTTTTCTGTCCCTAACCTTTACAGAAATATTACACTTGAAAAACAATTTAGTGTTACAATTTTTTTTATATTTTAAAATAAAACAGTATGTTATTTGAACAATTACACCTTCTTGAGCCATCTATGTGGCAATATTTGTTTTTAATTAATTATAAAGGATTCCAATCACCACAAAACTGCTCATCCCCACAGCCATGTACAGAGGGAAAGTGCTTTATTTTGAGGTCAAAAACAGGTTTTTCTACCATTTAAAATACAATGATGTATTCATAACTATCAATTATATGATGTAAATGAAATCAAAAAACAAAATGCCAAATAAATATTATAAAATATATAATGAAAGTAATGGTCCCCTGAAGTTGTGTCACTGGTGTTACCGTTTAACAAAAATCTTTTATTTTGAAATAAAAATCACACTGATGACATCACTTGACTTCCTTCCTCCTATTTCCTGAAGATCTATGAAAAAAGGCCCATGTGAAGTCCACTGTCTCTTTTCAGTTATCAGAAATTTTCTCATTTATCTCATGATTTCATATGAAGCTTTTAGTGGAAGTCACTGGTATGACCTACTTTATTGTTAGGGAATTGTAAAAACTAGAATACAAATAGATTAAACTACTCAATTTAGTGAGTATACCATGATTGACAACATGTGGTTTGATACCTTGCAGCAGACATTTTGTAAAATGCATTTTTCATGAAAATTGTCACTGGTGTTACTGTCACTGGTGTTACCTTCCTTATGGGTTACACCAGTGAAGATCAGTTTATGGTTATGTTCTTTTACTAACTGCTTTCACTAATTGCCAAATGTATGCCAAATGTAACAATTTAGTCTTAACTAATTAATTATAGTTGAAGAATAAGGATCTTTGGTCTTATGTATATGTCACTGGTGTTTCATTGTGTCACTGGTGTTACTTTTTTCTGTCACATTAAATAAAATGCATCACATGTGACATGATAATAATTTTACATCCATTGAATTCTGCTTCACTCAAGAGTTAAGATATAAAGGATTGCATCATTACTTGTTTATAACATTTTTTACAAATATTTTGATTGTTATAGCAAATACATGGTTGCGCAAATGAACTAACATCATTTAATCACACTTTTAACAAACCTGATTAAAATAAATAAAACATAGTCTCCTTATTTTTTGCATTATCGTTATTTTTCTGTAACTCTGACTACATGTACTAAAAGAATTGAGAAATAATATTTCGTAAAAACCTTTAAAATTGCCAAAGAATTAAGGTAACACCAATGACAAAAAATGGTACGTGTGGTCTTTAAATAAATGCACAAAAAATATAAAAAAATCCTTAAGCTGTCATTTATGTGTATTCATAAAGTCAAAAGGTAATATAATAATGTGATCTAAGTTTAAATGTTAAAAAAATTAATACATTTTAAGACATCTTGCCATACCAAAAGTGGACGTTTCTGCGCATCACTTTATTCCTTGGAACCAGAATGCAGCAAAATACTTTTATAGAAAAAAAAACCTTCGAGATTGTTTTTGCTTCTGAACAACAGAGGCTGTAATGATAAAATAGTAAGTTTACAAAATCTCAAAACATGGACAAATAAGACAAATTTGTAAAATATGAAAATTATTCAAATTAAAAAAATATTTAATAAATAAATAATTTGAAAATATATGGAATAAAAATAAGTATCTATATAAGTATCTAAAATAAAATAATAATAATTATTATTATAAATACTAATATAAATAATACATTTAAAAATAAATATCAGTAATAAATTATATACGTAATATATATTTTTAATTTAAATGTTTTTTTTGGTACTTTTTCTAAAAAAAAAAAAAACATACAAAAAAATGCTTTGTACTTCACAAATGCAGTGCCAGAATCCGTTAATCCTTTCGTCTTTTCATTTTCAAAAGCTCTTCAGTAGGAAAGCGGATACTGGCCAAAGATTCTCTGTAGTGGCTCCATGACCGTGTACCAACCGGTGACGGTTGCTAGGCGGGAATTTTGCACCAAACATTGACAGACAAACCTAACGGCTATGGGTATTGACTGACATGTTTTTTGTAGTGGCTCCATGACCGTGTACCAACCGGTGACGGTTGCTAGGCGGGAATTTTGCACCAAACATTGACAGACAAACTAACGGCTATGGGTATTGACTGACATGTTTTTCACCCTATCACCTGAGACTCGACATGAGCGCGGACCAATCAAATCGCTCCTCTCAGTCAGCGTGTGCAGTCTTCCCACATGAGACCGCCCACATCAGAAAATCTTCATGTGAGCTTCCCTGATGCTGCCAATGTTCGCTGATTATTCTGAATATAGAAGGTAAGAACTGATTGTATTTGCAAAATAATGCAATATATCGCAGAATTCTGATTTAAAGTGCATGTCAGTGTCATTTCGCGGGATGCCAATAAGACTGGTAATTTCTTTTCGCGGTTTTCATTAGCGTGTATTTAAGTAGCGTACTATCATTAGTTTGGGCAGACCCGTTCAAGGCCCCGCTAAATTAGACATCAGCTGATGCTTTTCAAACTTTGCAACGCAATGTTCATGTGATGATGCTTTTATCCGTATAACATAAAGCAGCGTAACAAATCTTGTTTGTAAAGAACTAATGTTGTAGATATTAGACCGTGTAAGTCAATCCATGGTCTGTTATTTGTAATGTAGAGCTTGTAAGTTTCTATGTATTGTCAGTTTTGTGATTCAGTATTATTGGACAACATAGCTTTCATCAGATTGTTAGTCTAATTTATTGCTGTCTTAAGGTCCCTCTCCATCTCTGATTCTTTCTTTTAACCTCTCTCCTTTTGTACCCCTCTTACCTCTTTTAAAGAGTGGTGGGTAATTCCTCCTGACATGTCATATTTAATTCATAAGCTCTTGTACACTGTCTGGCTTTTGCTTTTAGTTTGGCTCAGTTTTTGCATTCGTCCAAGGCTCTATTGCTTTTAGGCTTAATTTGTTTTTATTTTAGTGTCCTACTAGTTTGTCTAAAAATGCATGTATATGTTTGCCTCATCTAGGCCAGGTGGCAGTTATTTATTTATTTATTTAGTCATTTATTAGTTATAGTGATTCCCAGCATGCAGCTGGATTCTGCGTGGAAAAATATTAACCTTTCACTCATCAGGAGGTGCTCCGCTCGAGTCGGTTTAATAATTCCT